AAGCCAGGCTTGGGGATTGTCCCCTAAGCGGCTTTGCGGTAGTGCCCCACGCCCTCCCGCCTCCCAGCACAGATGGAGTCCCACCTGCCCTGGAAAGCAGGGGAGAAGGCTGCAACCTGCACGGTAAGGACAGAGTGCCCTGCCATGCGGGCAGTGGCAGCGAGCGGGGGATGGGGCTGATGCCCTGGGAGGGCCGCTGAGAACGGCCCCTCCCCGGAGAGCCCACCCTGTGCTGCTCACCCAACACCCGGGTCCCACGGGCCATGTCCACACATACACACCAGGCCCCAGCAGGCCGCCCTGCCTGGCCTTGCCACCTGCCTCCCAGCCGTGACAGCAGGACCCCTCTGAGACTGTAGAAGGGTGCCACCCACACGGGCCCCATCCCCAGCCTCACCGCGGTACATGCCAAAGTAGCCCTCTGAGCGGATGGTCTTGATGAGGCAGTCAGACCTGCAGCCAAGGGGGGGGCGGGAAGGGTGAGCCAGGGGGCCAGCAATGGCTCCAGCCCTAACCCAGACAGGAACTTCCCCAGACCAGCCCTGACCTGTTTCCCCTCTTGTCAATCAGGCTGGGGGATGCAGGAACAGGGCCTGAGTCTGAGCCTTAGCCTGGCCCCCCCTCACATGGCTCCATGCCCACGGCCCCCACCGGGCATGCTCACATGCTGGTGTACATGCGCTGGCCATTCTGCTGGTTCTGCAGCCTCGTCTTGGCCAGGTCGATGGGGAACACGCAGGTGACCCCGATCAGCCCAGCGATGCCGCCATTGATGAGCTTGGCTGGCAGACTGTGGGAGCAGAGAGAGTGTCAGGAGTGGCCTCCTAGGCCACAGGTCAGGACCACACATGGGGTGGGGTGGGGCCAAGAGCAAAGGCAGGGTTGCATTCTGACCTGATCTGCTTATCAGCCATTTAACTGAGCGCACCCAGGTGGGAGCCGGAGAGGTGGATGCCAGCCCAGAAGGTGGAGGACGGAGGCAGCGCAGCGTGGGTGGGACAGAGGGGGAAGGGGCGGTCCTCCACTTTCCGGGGAATTTCAAAACCACGGCTTCTGTTCTAGAAAAGGGTACAGGAATCAGGGGAGGGAGGAACAGACCACTCAGAGGCACACCAGAGAAATAATCTTGCCCCCAAAACCCCCTCCCCAGGTCTCACGCAAGAGCACCAAGCCCCTCACCCATCCCTAGGGCCACCCAGTCTCCCCTCAAGGCGCCCCCGCCCCCGCACCGGTGCGTTCTCCCCTGCTGGCCTCGCTCACGCTCACACACACTCACGTGCACACTGAACGGGCCGAGGAGCGCCCTCTGCCTTTAAAGGGCCAGGCGCCTCTGGGGCAGTGAGTCTGCCAGCCAGGCATCTCAACCCTGGACTGCGGTGACCCCTTCATCCTCGGGCAGCCACAGCTGGCGCCTGCCCCCTCAGGATGGAGGCTGGAGGGGCTGAGGAGCACCCCCCAACCTGGGCTCAGCTCACAGCTACCCAGGTAGATGCTGCCGCGCCAGGTGCAGCCCCCCCCATGGACCCCAGACAGCCCCTCCCCCTGGAGAAGCTCCATGCTCACCCACACCCAGCCCTGCACCCACCCTCCCATCCACCCTTTCCAGGAATCTCACTCCCAGACAGACAGACAGACAGACACACACACACACACAGACCAGGTCCTCTGGAAGCTTCGGGGGAGTTTGGGGCATGGGGTGGGGGGCAGCTGAGAAGGGGACAGCTGACTGAGGCTCCCTGGGATGGTTCACGCATTCACTCTGGGGGTTGGGGGAGACAGGGCCCCTCTCACTAGAGACAGGGCAGAGCCGGCCTCCAGAGCCTCCTGTCGGGGGCCCCCCAGAGCCCTGGAGCCTTCTCCCGCCTCTTGCCTGGGCCCCCTCGAGGCCAGCTGTCGTGGGCTCTCACCCACAGCACTGTCACCCAGGGTCACAAGGCTGGCTCACACCCCTGGTCCCTCTGAGGACCGGTGACCTTCACCTCAGCTTTCCCGGGCCATCTGTCCCTGTGTCCCCTGCCCCTCCAGCCCCACCACCTCCGCAGCCCCCAGTCCCGCTCACCCTCAGGTGCACCTCCAGGACTACAGCCCACCGGGCTCACCGAGGAGATCCAGGGGCCAAGGGAGGTGCCCGCTGCCGGGATTGGCCGCCGGGCGGGGCGGGGCCGGCCTGGGGGGGGGGGCGACTTTCTCTTTCACTTTGGGCAAGTTGGCTCTCAGCTGCTGTGGGATGGGAGGGGGCGTGACAGCTTCTGAGAGGCAGGGCCCAGCTTCGGACACGATCAGCACACAGGGCAGTGGGCCTGACTCAGGCTGACCCAGCCAAGCCTGACCAGCCATCCACAGGAACCCCAGCCCGTGGCCACCACGACCCCGACTGCCCCGTGGGTTCCTGTCTGCAGCCTGCAGGCTGGATCTGTCTAGGGCTCTGGGACCCAGTGGATGGGGCGCTCTCTGTGCCCAGGCCCCCTGTGGGCCTCTGTGTGGACAATCTGGTCCCGTGGGAGTGGAGATGGGTCTGTGCCCACTCCTATTCGTGAGACCTGTGTGTCTATTGGATGAAGACGCATTTCATGGGAACCTCACCCTAGGCCAGGACTGGGGCGCCTGGGGGGGGGGGCTCAGGTGGTTAAGCGTCTGCCTTCGACTCAGGTCATGATCCCAGGGTCCTGGGATCGAGGGCATCCAGCTCCCTGCTCAGCGGGGAGTCTGCTTCTTCCTCTGCCCCTCCCCCTGCTCCTGCGCGCGCGCGCACTCTCTCTCTCTCTCCTCTCAAATAAATAAATAAAATCTTTTAAAAAGGGAGGGGCAGGGAAGTGTTGGCTAGGTCTCAAGAGGCCTCTGGCTGCCACCCACAGGACTGCTCACCTGGCAGGTCCAGAGGGCACAGGAAACGAGCACTCCCAGAGCCCTCTGCCCGGCCAAGGGGTCCCCGACACACATGCCCTGGGCCTCTGTCCCCAGCATCTGCTTCCCCATGCCCTAGCCTGCAGATAAAAGTCTGACCTCTGAACTTCAACCTGAGTTTTCCCTCCCCACCCCCACCCCACCCACCTCCAGGTGTAGACCAGCTACGGCCAGCTCTCTGCTGCCCCAGGCTGTCAGGGGCAGGGTCTATATTCTCACTGCAGTCTCTCTGCAGCCTACTCCTGCCCTCTGGGGGGCTGAGTAAACCCTGCCTCCTTGAGCATCACCAGACCCCACCTCCCGTCCAGGGTTAAGGGACACTGGGTGATGGGGGTCCCGGAAGTCAAACAGAGTGTCTAAGGTGAGGAGGGGAGCAGTTGTGCCAGGAAGAGAGGCAGGCTCAGGGATGCCACGCCTGAGGGAGACAGTGAGTCTGGGGTCTCACAGTACGTGCTTCAGGCTGCAGGATGGAGCAGGGAAGAGGGTCGCTGGCCTGACAGCAGTGAGAATGAAGGGGCTCTGCCTGGGGAGACTGGCAAGGGGTCCACGGGACCCAGAACCCCCCCTCTGTCGGTCCTGACTCTGTGGTTCTCACCCCTGCTTAAGAGACATCTGTGGAACAACTTCCCCAGGCACCTCGTGTTGCCACAGAAACCCAGCAACCCTGGCCAGGCCTGAGGCCGGGGCCTGTCAGCCCTCACCGTCCCCCTGTCTCCACGTCTGCAGCCAGGTAAACTAAGGAGGAAGGCAGGCAGTGGACAGCGCTGCCCACAGACATCAGCCACAGAATAATGCTGCTACTTCCAGACCCTCCCAGGGGTAAAATCTCCCACAAATGAAGCCGCTGAGCTTCCCCTCCCCCACCCCCGACGGAAGCCGATGGGGGTGAAGATCAGAGTGTGGCACTGGCCTCTGGCTGCCCATTCAATCTCCCCGCGTCCCTTCCCCCTGGGGCGGGGGGCGCTTTCTACCCTGTCGGAGGGGACCCAGCCCACGAACAAAGGAGGCCGGGGGTGGGGGCTGCGGGCTCCAGCTCGGAGGCCGGCTCAGGACCCTTGTCCCTCTGGAGGGGATCCAGACGGGACCCAGACGGTCACGCCGCCCCCGGGAGGCGATGGCGACTCCAGCCACGCACGTGTCCACACAAGTCCGGCGGGGTCCCACGTGTGCGCCCCCCGCAGCCCGGCCTCCGCTTCTGGGGCTCTGGCCCCAGCTTCCCACCCCGTGGGGACACGTGTGCGCGGGGAGCGCGCCCGGCACCGCCCGGGGTCGAGCACGGCCTCCCACACCCAGACGGCAGCCGGTCGGAGCATCCGCCGACCCGCGCAACCCCCCTCCCCGGAGCCGCCTCGTCGGGGCAGCCGTCACCTCCCCCGGCCGCCTCGGCGCCCCTGGGCCCCGCAGTCGGGCCGCAGTCGGGTGGGCGCAGCGGAAGGGAGAGGCCGCGCAGGCACTCACCGCGCGCTGCGCTGCCGCCGCCGCCGCCGCCGCCGCCGCGCTCGCCTCCCCGCCGTGCCGCGCGCCCGGCTGCTCCTCGGCGCGGAGGCGCGTCCGCTCGGCGCTGAGCGCGCTCCGCCCCCTGCCCCCGGCCCTCGGCAAGCGGGCTCCGGCTCCCCCTCCCGGCCGCCGCGGCCACTGCGCCCGCGTGGCCACAGCCGCCGGTCCCCAAAAAGCCCTTCTTTGGTCTCTGGGCCTCCCGGCCCTACATGGGCCATGGACCCAGGGATTAGCCCCGGCGGGCCAACGGGTGGCAAGGAATGCTGGGAAGAGGGTGTCCCAGGGCAGGAGCGGTCCGTGGTCGCACAGTGGGCGCTGGGAGGGGACTCATCTGGCCAAGCACCTGCCCACCAACTTGGGGGATGCACAATCCCGCACACAGGTGACTTTGTATCCATTGGTGCTGCACAGTTACTTTGTAGCTGGAGCTCCTCTCCCTCCTGGGCACATGGGAGGAAGCAGGAGCAAGGGGGGTGTCGACGGGGCGGGTAGTGAAGTCTTTACACAAGGTCCCCTCCCAGCAGCGCCCAGGCCTCTGACCTCAGGCCACCCCTTGCCTTCCACCCACTCCTCCACCCAACAAATAAACAGCTCTGAGAAGCAGCCAAAACAGGACATATTTGTTACACATGGGAGGTCACTGTCCCCATACACAGGGAAAGCTTGAAAATGGGGGCCTCTGACCATTGGCCAGGGTCCATCAGCGGCCCGCCCAAAGTCAGTGGGGTCTAGGCCTGGGCAGACTCTGGGGACTGTGATGCTGAAGGCTCAGGTGGGGCAAGGCCCCTGGGGGCCAGGCTTGTGCGCTGGATGCTGTCCTTGTACTTCTGGCGGCCGAGCTCCAAGACAGCCCTCACCTCTTCAGCGACATCCAGCCGGTCGCTCTGCTCCAAGGCCTGCACTAGGAGCCCCACAGCCCCTGGCTGCCCGGCCTGGCGCTCAGCCCAGGAGAAGAGCATATGACGGATCTGGCCATCCAGGTCGTCCCTGGGTGGGGGTGGGGGAGAAGGAGAATGGTGATAGAGAGGCCCAGCCATCACACCCAAGGTTCTGCTCACCCTCCTCGGGTGGATTCCCTGCTCCCTGGGTGAGGTGTGGCCAGACCCTCCCTTTCCTGCCTGTTTGCCCTGTCCCCACTCACCCTGGACTTCACCCAGCCTCATAAAAAGCTCTCCTGGCAGCCAGGACCCAGGCCTGAGGCTGGTCCAGAGCCAGCATCAGGATGCCCAAAGGAACTCACCGGAACTCATGTCGGATGCGCTGCAGCTCACGGTAGGGCATGCCCAGGTGCAGGGCCACGGCTGGCCAGTCAGGGCCCAGGCGCCCAGCCACATTCTGCAGGTTGCTCTGGGTCAGGAAGCCAGTCTCGGCATCACCCAGGGTCAGAGGGGCCAGGGAGAGGCTGGTCCCCTGCCCCTGCTCTGGCCCCTGGGACCCCCGTAGTCTCTGTGAGGAGGAAGGGGTGCAGTGAGCCCTACCCTCTGCTCCCTGACCAGCCCCGGGCTTCTGTGCCACCCCTGCCCCCTTCACACACGCTGCCCCCCACCCCAGCCACACCGGCAGCTTGATGGGCAGAGTGGCCATCCAGAGGGAGTCTGTGCCCTTCCTCTGCCGGGCAGCCTCTGCCTCCTCAGGTACCTCCTCGGGCACTGCTCCCCGGTAGAAGGACACCTAGTGTTGGGGTGAGATGGGGCTCAGTGTTCTGGCCTCTGCCCAGGCAGCCTGGGGCAACCTACCCCGCTGACCCACCTGACCCCTCACAGCCTGAGCCTGCCGGTCCAGGGCGGTGGTCACATACACCTCCTTCATGTTCTTCAAGTGTGAGTAAAACACAAAGCAGATCCTGCCCGCCACGCAGTCCGGGCGGTCTGGGGGTGGGATGGGCTCAGCAGGGAGCCTGGGGAATGGACCCCAGCATCCTGTCTCTAGGGGCGGGGCAGGGGGGGCATACCAGCATCCACGTCAATACCCCTCTCAAAGGCAGCAAAGAATTTTTCGCCCTCGAACATCTCCACCGTGTCAGAGGGCTCAGGGCCTCGGTACCGGTCCAGCAGCCGCCGCAGGGTGGCATCCACCTGGGGGGGGACCCACTGGCTTCAAGCTCAATGCCCTGCACCCCCATGCAGGCCCTCTGCCCTCCCGACACAGCCCTTCCAGACCTCTGGAGTCCGCACCCACCTTGTTGCCGGGCAAGCACTGGAGCAGAACCTGCTCGGGGTCTCGGCGCCTCTGCAGGGCAATGAGATTCACCCTGTGCAGTCGCAGGCGCTCCCAGGCCTTCCGAGCCAGGCCCTCCACGCAGGTCTTGGTGGTGTACCAGAGCCAGTACCTGGGAGGGCCTGGGGGTGAGTGGGGGCTGCCCAGACAGGCTCGCTGGGGGAGAGGACTGAGGAAGCTGGGGCTGGGGGCACTGACCAAGAGAAGTGTGTGACCTGGAAGCGAGCGTACAGGTGGGTGATCTCCAGTGCCACCTGAGCTGTGATGTCATCCCAGGCTACTTCAGGAGGGGTCCGGTACAGCAGGTGAAGACAAGCGCGATCCAGACTCAGGCCTGGTGATGCGAGGGGGCCGCAGGCTGAGGTGTCCCTGGTAGGGGCTCCCCTGCCGAGAGCACGGCCCCTTCCACCCAGTGGCCATGAGTTCAGCTAGGCCACCTGGCCACCTCTCACCTGTGACACCAGGGGGCAGAGGCAGCTGCACAGTGACAGGCCGGAGGAAGCTGGGGGGGCCACTCTGGGAGAGGCACAGCAGGGGGCTCGCCGCCGCCTCAGGCTCCTCCAGCAGGGCTCGAAGCTCTCTGCTGCCCACGTGCACCACCTGGGGCAAACGGGCGCCTGGAACACTCACCTTTGCATCGAGGCACCACCCACCACTCACAGTGGCTGCCCTGCCTGCACCTGCATGCGGACGTGACGAGGCTCATTGGTGGCCCCAGGGGGGAATGTGACCTTGACCCCAGGATGTCCTGAGGAGTACAGCAACGTCCCCTGCGGTGGCACCAGGCAGGTGTTGGACACAGGACGTGAAACCACGAGGAACCACGAGAAGTGGGGCACCTGGCAGTGAGCCCAGAGCCTCTGGACATGGGGGGTGGGGTCAGAGGGGAGTCAGGATTAGGTCAGAGCCACCAGGCAGGGCTGACCAGGGGCTGGAGGGAGCCCCTCCCTAGTGCTCCTTCCCAGGAAGGCCTAGGGGGCTCTCACCTTGGGTGCCTCTTCTTCCAGGTAAGTCTCCAGGTCACTCCAGCTGTCATCACTCAGGGTCCTGACCACCACCTCACGGCAACGCCGGGCCCGGGGGGGCACAAAGAGTAGCCACAGGCCCACCTCCTGCCAGGCAAGGGTGGTGTGAGCACTGGGTCCCATGCCTGGGCCCTCCTCCCCTGCCCCCCACCCCGACTCGCCCTGGCCATGCCTGCCGGAAGGCCACCCCGTGGGGCTGCAGCTCCAGGACCCCACTGAGCAGGGAGTCATGGGGACCCAAGGGGACGAGGTGTGGCTCCGGCAGCCAGAGTCGATACTGGATGTTGACAGGGCTAGAGGTGGCCCCAGCAGGGAACTGCAGGCGGACCCCACAGGCCAGGGTCACTGAGCAGCCTTGGGGAGTCACAAGGAAGCTGCAGGAGAGGGTGGGCATCAGGTCAGACAATAGAAGGGGTGTGGCTGGATCGGGGACCCCCGGGAAACTCCAGAAGACCCCTGGGGTATGAACACTGTGTTCATCATGGACAGAGCGACAGCGTAGAGACATGCATCTTCAGCCCCATCCCCCTCCCCACACACACCTGTCCAAATCTGAATTCAGGAACAGTCTGGGCATTTCGGGGGTCACGGGCGTCTCTGTGGCGGAACAGGCAAGCTGTTAGGACACCTATGGAACCTGCATCCTGGCCTGTCTGTGGCCTGACTCTTCCTAGCAACAAGCCTACCTGGGGGACTGTGGGAGGCAGGTAGAACCTTGCCCAGGGGGTTCCCCCGAAGGCGCACAAAGGGGGCGTCCAGTAGCTCGAGGGGCACGTCCCGGAGCTGGTTGTCCCTCAGATCCAGTCGGGTGAGCAGCGGGAGGTGGGCTAGGCCGGCAGGCACTGAGGTCAGGAGGTTGCTGTGCAAAACAAGGAACCGCAAGGACCGTAGCCCCACTGCGGGCAGGTGCCAGCTTAGCGCCAGCAGAGGACCACTCAGGGCCACACCCAGCCCTGGGCAGGACAGGATACTCACGCTAGGGCCAAGCAGATGGCCAGACTCGGGGAGCTTGAGAAATCTGTGCAGGGAGCCTTGAAAGCCAGGGAAGGGAAGGCAAGCAAGGGCCACCCAGGAGGAGTGAAGGCTCCAAGATGGGCCAAGCCTGTGTGTGCAGGGGCCCCCCGTGGAGGACAAGACAGCAGAAACCAGGCAGCAGCTGAAGGGCACTCCCTGTCAGGCCCAGGGAGCCATGAGGGGCACGAGTCCTACTCACCAAGGGAGGTCGGGAGGCCCTGCAGCCGGTTGCAAGCCAGATTGAGCTCGGTGAGGCTGCTCAGGCCTCCAATCTCAGGGGGCAGGGTGTCCAGAAGATTCTCTGAGAGATCAAGGCGCTGCAGGGTGGATAGGGATCCCAGCGCTGTAGGGAGCGTCTGCAAGCCGTTGTGGCTCACAGAGAGGAAGGTGAGGGAGGGAAGGGCTCCGAGGGCCTCAGGCAGCTCTGAAAGGCTGTTGTAAGACAGCAGGAGGCTGCTCAGGCCACGCATCTGTGGGATGCAGGCCGGCAGTGTCTCCAGGCTATTGAAGCTCAGATCTAGGTGGGCCAAGCGGGCCAGGCCACTCAGGCCAGCTGGCAGTGTGGTCAGGGAGCCCCGGGAGCAGGCACCCAGCACGTCCCGATGTTGTCTGCCTAGAAAGGGGGAAAGCAGATGTGGCCCTCAGAGCCAGAATCCCAGGGCCCAGCTCAGTGCAGAGGCACAGACCGCTACCCCAACCCCACCCAGAGAGGGACAGACGGAGACACCAGCAGATGCAGGGGGGACAGGGACAGATACTGCAGGCTCATCTCAGCTGATAGCCATCACCCATGATCTGCCCCAGGAAGAATACCTACACTGGGGTCTGCTGGGAGACCCCAGTGGGCAGCTGCAGCCTCCAGGAGCCAGGGCTCAGCCAGCTTCACCTTGTGGGGGGCAGGGTTGGGACAGGGCTGGGACGAGGTGGGACTCACCTCTGAGGACCAGGGAGCGAAGGTGCTGCAGGCTGCACGGCACCTGGGCCAGGGTAGCCTCCAGCAGCCGAGGGTCCTCGTGGCCACTCAGCCGCAAGAACTCCACTTCCAGCAGCTGAGGGGGCCGCTGGGCACACAGATTCAGCAGCCGGTGGCAGCCCCGAGGGTACAGGTCCAGGTTCAACCGGTTCCCAACCAGGAGAGGGGGGTCCCCAGGCTCCGCATCCACAGCATCCGCAGCATCTCCCGCAGCATCTTCTGTAGCAGCTGCCTCGGGCTCCAGCCCCTCCACCTCTGCAGCCATCGCCCACCGGCTGTCCTCGGGGTCCAGACATGTCCCAGCCTGCCAAACAGGCCTGCTCAGGCAGGGCCCAGGGAGGCTGCAGAGTCAGGGGGAGGAGTGGAAGGGAGTGGGGATGGGCCCTCCTACTCAGGGCAATGGGGATTCTGGCTTGGGGGCAGTCCTTGAGCCAGGCCAGCTGATCCACAGAGCCCAAAGCCTCAGCTGAACAGATCATAGTTGAAATAGGGCTGGGGAATGAGAACCTCAGGACTGGAAAGGCAGCAAGCAGGGAGACCTGTGTGCAGAGGAGCCTGGGGAACCTGATGGGGGGCAGGGGGAGGAGGGAGAAATGAGTCTTCATGTCCCACTTGTGGAAATTTGAACAAGAGACTCCTAGAGCTGTCAGGTCATCCTGGCTGCCCACCCCCCTCCCTGCCCCCTCTGGGTATAAGAGTTTTGGGTCCAGCCCGACCACCAACCTTCACACCCACCAGCTTTGACCAGAGGTCGAGGACTCTTATCTACCACGTGGGGGCAGTGGCCCCGGCAAGGAAAGGGGTGATTGTGCCCGTATGTGTCAGATAAATGAATGGGGGGGGGGCAGGGAGAGCTGGAGTGTGAGCTGGGGGGGCCTGGGGTCCTGGAGATGGGACCCCACTTCCTGACCACTGGAGGAGGGTTCGCTCACGCTTCCTGTTCGCACCTAGGTCTGCTGATGAGGGCAGTGGTCTGCACATTCCGGGCTCCGACGGCTTGGGGGCTGGTCCTGGCCGGGAGAGGCCCCCCAACCTCGCCGTCCCCGCCGCCCGCCCGCGCCCTGCGCGTACCTGCGCTCGAGGCTGGGCGCCGTCCGCCGGCGCGTTCCCGAGAGGGCCAGGCCTCGGGTCCCGCCCAGTCAGCACGCCCCTTGCTCGGGGCTGGGACCGCCGGCGAAGGCCTCCGGGTCCCTCCCCTCCCCGCAGCCCTGGCGATGCGGCCGCGGACCCCAACCGGCAGCCGCCAGCCGCCAGCCAGCTGCACTCGGCTTCCTGTTAGTCTGCCTCAGTCCGGCCTCTCCCGCTGGGAAGGCCCGCGTCGCGCGCTGCAAAACCCGCCCTTTCGGAGATTCCTGGCCCTCGGGCCCGCCCTACTCTGGAGCTGTGCGTTCTGGCCCCCTTAAAGTGAGCTGGTGCAATCTCGGGACGGAGGAGGGCTTTGGGGGCTGATCGCAGCTGCCGCCTCACATCCGCCTCTTGCCAGAAGCCAGAGCACTAGATGTACCATTCCCCGGCCAGCCTCAAGGGCCTCCTTCTCCCGGAAGCCTTCCTGGGCCTCCTCTGGAAACCTGGTCCCAGCTCCTGTGATCTTGCTTTACCGGCAATCACTTTGGTCCAAGAGCCCCAGCAGTGGGCTTCCCCACACGTTGCCTCCTTCAATCTTTGCATCTCACAGGGAAGGAAAAGGAGGCTCTGTCAGATCAGTTTGCCCGAGGTCACTTAACTACTGGTAAGTGCCAAAGCCAAGAACCTCAAACTAGGTCTGACTCTTAAGAGAACCTACCCCATCTGTGCTCATTCACCCAGTCTGCCCCAAATCAATTCATGCACACCCTCTTCCTCCAGCTCCCCTGCTGCCACCAGCCCTCCCACCAGGATGGGCAGTTCGGCCAGGCTCCATTTTCCGCAACTCCTGTCCCACCTCCCGTTTCTAAGTAGCTGCCAGGACTTAAAAAAAGAAAAAAAAATCACAAGAATGTTACTCAGCTTTATTTTTATTTAAAAGATTTTATTTATTTATTTGCCAGAGAGAGACACAGCGAGAGAGGGAACACAAGCAGGGGGAGTGGGAGAGAGAGAAGCAGACTCCCCGCGGAGCAGGGAGCCCGATGCGGGGCTCGATCCCAGGACCCTGGGATCATGACCTGAGCCGAGGGCAGACGCTTAAGGACTGAGCCACCCAGACGCCCCGAATATTACTCAGCTTTAAAAGTGAACGAAATTCTGACACACGCCACAGTGTGAACGAAACTTGAGAACATTATGCTAAATAAGTCAGATCCTAAAGGACAAATACTGTATGCTTCCACGGTGAAGCCCCCAGAGTAGTCAAATTCCATTGAGACAAAAATTAAAATGGTGGGTGCCGGGGGCTGGAGGAGGGAATAGGGAGTTATTTAACAGGTATGGAATCCGGGCGCCTGGGTGGCTCAGTTGGTTAAGCGACTGCCTTCGGCTCAGGTCATGATCCTGGAGTCCCTGGATCGAGTCCCGCATCGGGCTCCCTGCTCGGCAGGGAGTCTGCTGCTGCCTCTGACCGTCCCCCCTCTCATGTGCTCTCTCTCTCTCATTCTCTCTGTCTCAAATAAATAAATAAAATCTTTAAAAAAAAAAAAAAACAGGTATGGAATCCAACTTCGGAAGATGGAAAGCAGTCGAGATAGAGGCTGGTGATGGCTGTGTCATGAGAAGGCACCCAATGCCACTGAATTGTATGGTTGGACGGTAAATCTCATGTATTAACTCTGAAAACAATCATCACAACATGCCACTTCCCTGTGTATTGCAATTACATCCCGCCCTTGCCAGGAGGGTTTCCACTTTACCCCAAGTGTGAGACCTTGAGCAAGGAAACCTCTCTGCGCCCCACCTCCTCCATAAAACGGGGGTAATGACAGCGACGACACCCCCAGGAATGGTGTGGTTTGCACGAATACACCCGTGCTCGATGAACTACATACACTTGGTAGTGACAGCCCAGGCTGCTTCTGGACCCATCTCCAGCCACCGCGGGGCCCCTGCTTCCGACCCTTCTGCCTGGTGCTCGCCCCAGATCTCAGGGCCGGCTCATCCCTTCGGGCGTACGTCGGCCCGGGATTGCTTCGTTTATTTACTCCCGTGCGTCCTCGTTCTAAAACCTATGTTGCGGAGCAGCAGGGCCGCGCCGGCTCCCTCTCTGCGCGCCAACCTGCGGCAGGCTCCCGGGCACCGAGCATGAACGCGTGGCGCGTGCTGACGTCCACGTGGGCGCGGAGGGCAGTTCGGAGCCCACGCGGCCCCGGAGGGGCGCAGCCACCAAGCCCAAGCCGCTCGGCTCTGCACCTCACCGCGGCCCACGGTCCCTGAGGCCCGGAAACCCCCCGCCCCGAGCAGCGAACGGGGAGGGCCGGCCACGTGCACCCGCGCAGGCGGCGCTCCCGCACTTCCGGCAGCAGTGCATCCTGGGACTTGGAGTTCGCCGCAGCCTGCGGCCGCAGGACACCGCGGCTCGGAGGCTCTCGTCTCCGCGGCCTGGGCGCCGCGTGACGTCACTCGGAGGCGCCCGCGCCGCCCGGCGCGCGGGTCCCGGGGACTTCTGGGTAGCGGATTACCCCCGCCCCCCACGTCGCCGCCTTCCTTTCCGTCCCCGACGCCGCCGAGGTCGCACGCGTGAGGCTCCTCCGCCGCCGAGTGAGTGGGCGGCGGGGCCGCGGCGCGGGCCGGCCTGCGGGGCCGCGGGGGGCCGCGGGGGGCCGCGGGGGGCCGCGGGGGGCGGGCGGGCGCCTGCCGGGCTTGGCGGGAGGCGCCGGGCCGGAGCGCGCGCGGCCGGGGCCGGGGCGGGAGGCCTCTGGGTAAGGCCGCCTGTGCTCTCCTCCCGCCTCAGGATGCGCTACGTCGCCTCCTACCTGCTGGCCGCCCTCGGGGGCAATGCCTCCCCCAGCGCCAAGGACATCAAGAAGATCCTGGACAGCGTGGGCATCGAGGCGGATGACGACCGGCTCAACAAGGTAGCCGTCCCGCCGCGCTCGGGCGAAGGTGTAGCTGGATGTGCGCGCGTGTGCGCGGGGGTCCCGGCGCAGCCGCAGGGCGGGTGGGCGTGAGGCGGAGTTCCAGCCTGCCTCGGGGCCAGGGACGGGAAGGTTGCGGCGCCGCCGAGACTTCCTAGGAGCGTTTCCAGAGAAGCGCGCCTTCCTTAGTGACAGTCTTCCGCGTGGTGGGATTTAAGCCGAAATACTTGGCTGTCTTGTCTCGGGAGTCTTAGGGGCGCGCCGGTTCCCCCTTGGAGCGAGTCTTCGGGGAAGCCACGTGTGGATGGCTGCTGCTGGGCTGGACGGGCAGGCCCGGAGGCTCTGGGGCGTCTTCTCACCGCTCGCTCCCGCAGCGCGCCCTGCCCCGGTTGGAGAAGTTAAGGCAGGGGCGCGTTGGGGAGTCTTTGGTAATTGGTGCTTCTGGTTGTTCTAGGTCATCAGTGAGCTCAACGGAAAAAATATCGAAGACGTCATTGCGCAGGGTGAGATTGTGTGCAGGGGGTTTTCGTTCTCGGGTCCATCCTAATGCCTGCTGGTCAGCCTGTGGCCTGCCAGGTTTCGCTTGTGGACCAGAGCACTCCAGAAGCCTCACCCAGAGAAGCGGGCAGGCTTCAGTGAGCTTGTGCCAAGGATGCTTCTGGACAGGCCGGGTGGTGGGGCAGCAGGGCGGGGCTGGAGCTCTCACAGGGGAACCCGGATTTTGTAAACACCGCTCACCATGTGCTCTCGGTGAGGGGCTCGGGAGCACAGACGGGGACTGCCCAGGATGACCGCAGGTCCCTGCCCCCCTTTACTGGGCAGGTGGTTTTCTGATGACAAGGCTGGAGCTGGCGGGAAGCGTTTGGAAATCGTACCATTGGGACGACTGTTCTGTCCCTGTGGGCTCAGTGAGGCAAAGCCCGCTCAGCAGACAGCCCTGTCTGAGCTCACTGATGAGGACCTGGACCTGGCCAGCAGACTCGGTCCTTGCCGGGGTGTAAACGTGGTGGGGTGCTGTGGCTCAGTTTCTTGGGGCGGGATTCCTAGAAGCCAAGTTTCCCGATAGGGAACTTGAGGAAGCCTGGGTGTGTGGGGGGGGCACAGGCAGAGCCGCCCATCCGAGAGCACAGAGGAGCCGGTGACTCTGGCACTTGGCTATGGGCTTCCGTACATCGGGCAGACTGTCTCTGAGGCAGCCTTCAGGCTGAGCACCTGCTCTGGTCTCATTTTCCCTGATTGCCGTAGGTATTGGCAAGCTGGCCAGCGTGCCTGCTGGTGGGGCTGTCGCCGTGTCTGCCGCCCCAGGGTCTGCAGCTCCTGCTGCTGGCGCTGCCCCCGCTGCTGGTAAGTGGAGGCTGGGGCGGGGTCTCCGCTGGGAGTGTGTCTTGCACTGTGGGCCTTGCTCACTGCCCCCTTTCTCTCTACAGCAGAGGAAAAGAAAGACGAGAAGAAGGAGGAGTCCGAGGAGTCAGACGATGACATGGGATTCGGCTTGTTCGATTAGGTTCCTGCTCACCCCCACCTGCTGGCAAATAAAACCCTTTTTATGTATCTATGAAGTGGCTTGTGAGCGTTTTGTAAGAGTGTGGCCTTGGCACAGGGCAGGTGTGGGGGCCCCATCCCACGTTGGGTGGGCGGGCCTTCATTCTGGGAGAAACCAGAGCCCTTCCTGGTGAGGTGGAGTTCCCAGGCAGGAGGAGCTCCCCAAAAAGCTGGGGATCTGGTGCAGAAATGGGTACCTGGGAGGGGGGACATCTCCTGTGGATCTTGGGTGTGGTCAAGCCATGAGTAGGCTCAGGAGGGGGCGTTAGCCTTCTTGGGCACAGTCCTGGCTTCTGAGGACTGCAGGGGCCTTCCCACAGTGAAGTTTTCAGGGGGACACACAGGAAAACTTAAAAAGCAGCAGTGGGTGGTCTCCACTACCCTGAGGTGGCTCTGGCTGGCAGAGGCCAGCAGTTGCCCTGAGACTGGTAGCATTCTTCAGTTTCACAAAAGGAGAGAGGGGTGGTGGTGCCTGGTGCATGTGGGATCCTGAGTTTCCCTGCAGAGTTGGGTGCAGTTCACATTCAAACTCTGCTTTAATCTTCGAGCAACTCGGTCCCATAGGTCCTTCGAGTTACCCCAGCTATTGATGACCTGGGCAAGTGTGGAAGTGGCTTGTAGGTAGTGATGTTGGGTCATGTGACCACGAAGTCCCCTTGGGGTGGGCCTGCCTGTGCCTCTCCTGCCAAGCTCTGGCTGGAATGGGGGGCAGGAGGCAGAGTTCCTCCCACCGCCATCCTGGGCCTTGGGTCCTCCGCCCACCAGTGCCAGCCCACTTACTAGATGCTCGTCTTCCCCCTGTGAAGGCTCTGGGTCAGCAACAGGCTGTGGTGTGTGCAGCCAGGCTACAGCTCTGAAGAAGGAGCTGCCATCGGTGCGCTGTAGTTCTGCAGGGAAAGAGCACAGAATGAGTGTAGCAAGGGACAGCTGGGGGGTGGAGGGCCTTCCTCAGGTAGAAAGTCAAGACCTGGAGAAGGGGGTCCGCAGGGTAGGAGTGTGCGTGGGATGTGGGAAAGAAGGCCTAAGACCCCTCCGGTTACCCTCTGGCGGCTGGAACATGGGCCCAAAGGAAGAAGTGAGCATCATTGCAAGGTTCCCAGCAGCATCTGCTGCAAGGGGCAAGTGGGAGTGGGGGTTGGGAGAGAGGCGGATTGTGGACGCCCAAGGACACAGGTGGTAAGGGGACATGGCTCCAGGTTCAGCTAGAGGGCTCCCCAGAGGAGAGGACCCAGATTCCATGGGCAGACCTTGGACCCTGAAGTGAAGGGCCCCGTGTAGTCAGAGGACACCATGGGAGCATGACACCCGCCAGAATGATTACACAGCAAACACCAGGGCTTCTCATCTACGCTGGCTGGGAGGAGGGGGAGGCCCACCTTCCACCCCGAGCCAGGGTTCCTGGAAGTGCTGTTGTGTTCCTGGCTCCAGAGCAGACATTCCCAGGGGCCTGGAGGGAGTGATATGTACCCAAAACAGCTCAACCCTGGTGTGGAAATGGGGGTAGAGGTCTCCCTGCACTGGGGCAGTGCCACCCTTCAAGGCCCCAGTCCCTCAGAACCAGGAAGGGCCCGGACCCTGGCTTCTTGGAGCAGGTCAGGGGAGGACCTTTTTAAGTCCCTGGCTCAGCCTGCACCACCCAGCTCCCCTCTTGGTGGTCACCCTGGTGAACCCCTGGACTTTCAAGGGCCAGCCTTGAGAGTGCTTCATCCGCACAGTACCACACCTGCCCCTGCTGCTTCCGGCAGCATCCCCAGGGGCTCAGTCAGTAGGGGCCCTGATCATCCTGATGGGGCCATACTCTCTGCTCTATACATCCATCCAAAGCACTTGGGGGATAAGATCCCCATGTACAACAAAAGGTCAAGTTTGTCTAGGTCAAATTTATTTTTCTAGTTGTTTATGAAATTTTAGGGTTTTTTTGAGATTTAATTATTTTTATTTTGTTTCTGTTTTTTAAATTTTATTTTATTTAAATTCAATCAAATTAATTAAGGGCAACTGGGTGGCTCAGTCGGTGAAGCATCTGCCTTCGGCTCAGGTCGTGATCCCAGAGTTCTGGGATCGAGCCCTGCCCTCCGGCTCCCTGCTCCGTGGGAAGCTTGCTTCTCCCTCTCCCTCTGCCCCTCCCCACCATTCACGCTCTGTGTCTCAAATAAAATCTTTTTTAAAAAATAAAATTCAATTAATTAACATAGCATGTTGTTAGTCTCAGAGATAGAGTTCAGTGATTCATCAGTTGCATATAACACCCAGTGCTCATTACATCACTTGTCCTTCTTAATTTCACAGTTACTCCATCCCCCTATCCTCCTCCCCTCCAACAACCCTCAGTTTGTTTCCCAGAGTTAAGAGTCTCTTGCGGGGGGGGGGGGGGGGTCGGCGCCTGGATACGTCAGTCGTTAAATGTCTGCCTTTGGCTCAGGTCATGATCCCAGCGTCCTGGGATCCAGCCCTGCCTCCAGCTCCCTGCTCAGGGGGAGCCTGCTTCTCCCTCTCCAGCTTCCCCTGCTTGTGTTCCCTCTCTCACCGTCTCTCTCTATCAAATAAATAAAATCTAAAAAGAAAGTCTCTTATGGTTGTCTCCCTCTCTGATTTCACTTTGTTTTATTTTTCCCTTCCTTCCCCTATGCTCCTTTGTTTCATTTCTTAAATTCCACAGATGAGTGAGATAATATGATAACTGTCTTTCCCTGATTGAATTCTTTGGCTTAACATAAAACCCTCTACTTCCATCCACGTCGTAAATGGGAAGATTTCTTTCT